CCCTACAATACACTTGCAAGCGTATGTTTACTTCTCAAAGCTTTTCACCTACATATGCCAGTTTCTAGTCTAGGAAAGAGAGTTCCTGGTTGTATTTGTCCTGTGATTTGCTGGTTCCTACTGGCTCTCAGGCCATCTGTGCCATGGCATGACTGGCACCCCAGGGAACTGGCTTTGCAAGCACTTCTGGGATCCCAAATCCTGGTTCTTGACCCATGGGTGACAGGTTGTCTAGTGCTATTTTGCATCTCTCCTCTTCACAAGAGATGCAATTCATGGCTGTTCTCATTGGACAGTGAGGACAGTATCAATTGGTGTGCCGGTCACCAGATGGCAAACCCCAAAGTTCAGTTGCACCACAGGTCTTTCCAGCAGTCCCACCTGGTACATTATCCTGTTGGATATTTTCATCCTTCTGGCGCTTGATAATTGGCTGCTTACCTTAGGTACGTGTGAGCCAGGCACTCAATCTCCACTGCATATTTAGTTAATTCTATATATTTTGAAAAGTTTATCTTGTGGGACTTCTTTCACATATTCTTTCTATATTTTGAAAAGTTTCTTTCACAGGACTGCTGCTCTGTCTTCGTTGGAGACTCCAAATTGCCAGACATGCACCAACAGTCTGGTATACATCCTGTCCAAGGAACAGAAGAACCTGGTGAGTTGAAGAATTCCAGTGGAGCATCCAAACTTTAGCTAACTTGGGCACCTTTAAATCTTGCTGGAAGCTCAGGAACCATCCCAAACTATTATGAGGTTGAGCAGATTCTAATCACTTAAATCTTTCTTAAATATATCTATAAGGAGAAAATTTATATGTGGCACCTAACTCTTGAATTTCAGATTCAGATGTCATCTTTGTGAATTAACTACTACACATTTACGGGTGGAGGGAAAAGGAGAGGAGAATAAATGTTGTTCTTGGCTGCGACTTTATGAGTGGACATGTGAAACATTGAACATGTAGTTTAAAAAAAAAAAGAAAAATAAAAAGAAACTCCATGCTGTTTAATCATAGGCTAAGAGCATCCTGCAGGAACATCTGCTCCCTGGTATTTATCAGTCTTACTAAATAAAATGAACTAGCAGGGGAAAAAATTTATATCCAAATTAAGAGAAAATGAATTCTGTGAATATAGAGACCAACAAGCAAATGAGAGCTTAAGTTCTATAAAAGTCACGTTATTTATGCTGGGCTTGGGTGGGGTTTTTGTTAGCATTTTGGTTGTATTTCAAGGATGTGCCACTTCTATGACAAGCTGTTAGTGCTACATTAGCGCAAGAACTTGAAATATTATTTTGTTCCTAGAGCCGTGACATTCTGTAAGCACTTTCCTTATTGTACAGAAGATTTTCAACCTACTGTAGATTGGAATCTTACTGTTTCTCCAGTGTAATCTTCCTGCTTCTTGTACTGGAATTAGGAAATTTAAACTTCTGAGGCTTTACTTTTAACCATTTGAAGGCTTGGTCAGCCTGAAGTTTAGGTTTTGAAAGTGAAAACCTCCTGTCTGCCCATGGTTAATTTTTTGTAAATTTTGCAGACAGAACAGGGAGGGATTTGTATTGGATAATCACCTAGTAATTATTTTCTTCTAATAATGGGAGAGGGATTTTTTTTTTAAATGCAAAAAGGGACAGGACAAAGGGGAATGGCTATAAAGTAACAGAGGGGAGATTGAGATGGTATGTTGGGAAGAAGTTCTTCCCCTGTGAGGGTGCTGAGGCCCTGGCACAGATTGCCCAGAGAAGCTGTGGCTGCTCCATCTCTGGCAGTGTTCAAGGCCAGCTTGGACAGGGCTTGGAGCAACCTGGTCTAGTGGAAGGTGTCCCTGCCCATGGTGGGGGGTTGGAACTGGGTGAGCCTTACGGTCCTTTCCAACCCAAACCAGTCTGGGATTCTATGAATGAAGATAAAGTAGAGAGCAGAGCAATCCTGAATAGCTGGCTTCCACCCACCCCCCCACCCACCCCCAAAGAAACACTGACAAAGTTGCACAATAGAAATGAACAGACTTAAAATTAACAAGAAGATTTTGCTTTCAGAAGAGCCTGCAGCTTCTGAAGGAAAATTGATTCATCATTGTCTTTTTATGGGTCCTCAGACCTTACCTTCACTACATTCTAGACTGATGCAAATCAGCTGTTTTGTGTAGGGTCACCAGCCTGTCTTTAAAACTCAGTCTCTATGAGTTAACCTACCTCTGTACGCCCTTCCGGTTGGGGGGACACTTTAGGGCAAATCTCCCCACTGCAAACAAGAGCAGAGTGAAACCTGGTAGTTTGGGTTTCATCTGGGTTATTGCAAAATTCTGGTTGGTTTTGTGGTGCTTTATTTTCCAGTGGTCCCAGTGTAGACCAAGAAATCATTTTGCACCCAAAGATGTGAACACTTTCCCACAATCATGTAATCCAGGCAGCATGAACAAGAGCTACCAGGGGATTGTTCAGAGGTGTGTAACGAGTGGTTTCTAGTCTGCGGAGATAATTTCTTCAAAGAACAAAAAAAGTTTACTTAGTTTTTAGGTATGGTCAGTCCCGGCTGAGAAGAGTTTTAGGGTTCAGCCCTTGTCTTTCATAGGCAGTTGTACCAACTCTGGATTTTGGCTCTTTGTGGTGAGTTTATAGTGCCAACTACAGCAAAAGGATTCTCTCCTTTCAATCAGTCAGCTTTTGACTGAAGGCCCTTGGTCCATATGGCCTGCATTTGCAGGTGGACAGACAGTGCTAAGGAATCACAAACCCTGCTACGCCCCGAAGGAGAGACAGTCTAAGTAAGCTCAGCCCATACTACTGGTTAAGTCACCAGAATTGCTGGAAGGTTTTTGAAAACTAAGACCTTACAAAGCAGAACCTCTTAAAGTGTTAGAACAATAATGTTGGGTTACCCCACAAGTGTTCAGCATAACAGAGAAGAGATTGTTGGTTCTGACTAGTAGCTCTGTAGGAGATGTCAAGTATTAACGTAATAATGAGTCATGCTTAGTATAAACATCACCATACCATGCTATCATTTAGTGATTCATTGACCAACATCATACAGGATTCTGTCAGGGCCCTGAGTGCACCAACAGGCTCTGCGAGCTCTTCTTCAGTCCTAGGCTCTTGAGTGCCTGGGCTCAAGACTGATTTTGGTATAGCGCAACTGTATAACCTGAGATCAGGTACTGTGGAAAAAGCTGTGTGAGAAGGAGATTTGAGAAGCCTTCACTCAGATGCACTCACCGTTGGTTCTTACTGGAGCTGTGGTGTAGCCATGTGTCTCATACCTCACTGACCCTAGCCTGCTGATTTGACATCCCAGGTGACATTGCACCTTCCTCATCATTGCCTGACCATCACTGAACTACAGGTGACCCAGGCTACTGTCAAGGGACCTGCTCTGCTTTTCTTGTTCAAGTCCTGTGGCATTGTGCCTTACTCCCTGATTTCCTTGCTGTCACCCTGTGGGGTCCCAGCTCCCCTTGACCAAAGGCACCCAAACCCTGATGAGTAAGGGGAAAAGGTTGTAGAGCCTGTTGGTACACTCAGGGCTCTGACAGACAGCAGGACACCTCTGTGGATGATATAATAAGGGTAGGTGGGCTTTTTGGTTTTAATTCTAGCTGGTTGTAATATGAAATACACAGAGAAGGGTGCCCCATTTCTGGCAGTGTTCAAGGCCAGCTCGGACGGGGCTTGGACCAACCTGGTCTAGTGTAAAGTGTCCCTGCCTGTGGCAGGAGCATGGAACTAAATGAGCTTTAACTCATAAATACGATACAATAATCATATGATAATAAAATCCAGCAAAAGGACACTGAGTGAGGTTCCTGAGGAATCTAGAACCTCCTGAAACTTAATATATTTTCAGTTTTCTCTTCAAACAGCTGTTTTCCTTGACCCAGAAAATACACAATTAGTATTTATTCTCTTCTGATACAGAGAACCCAGTCACCTGGCCTTTTATACCAAAACCCATTATGAAGTTCTTAAGCCAAGAGGTAGTAATAGCAGGATGTCTTGAATAGCTTCCTGCTTCATCAAGGAATTTTAAATTGTCCACTGTATGCTATATAATTTTCCCTTACCTGAGAGAATATATATGTACTACAGTAAAAAAAAAAAAAAAAAAGGGCAGTAGGAAGAAATCAAGATCCTCGAGCTTATTTATTATGAGTTCATTCTTATGTATAGGACACACTTAAGTTCATGCATCCATTCTTTCCCTGTGCCTCTGCAGCAGTAAACAGGCCCTTCTCACCATTCCAAAGCCACCATACTTGGAGCAAATGGTGTCCTACTTAAAGAAGGAGCTGCAGGCTCTTGACTGCTGTAAAGAGAATGCCCAGGAACTGAAGTTACTGGTCTGATGCAAGGTTCTCTTGACTTGAAATGAAGTGCTGAGATGGGTACTTAAATTTGCTATTCAAAGGAAAAAGGACATGAGAAAAGTAGGCACCTATGGGTAGTACTGAATAACAGGATTTGTAGCTCAGACTAGAGAACTTGCACAGGATTCAGTTTATTTATATATTGGGTTGCTGCTGTTTGCATGTCATTGGGTTGTTTGCATCTCTCATGTATTCCACATCTTCTATAACAGTTTCCATTTTCAAATCAAAGCCCAAGTCTTCAAAAGACATGATAATCTAAAGTGGATGTGAAACAGAATTTACACGCTAAACTCCTGGAGATTTTGCCTAAACCCATCAAGCAGCAAGGGTGAAGGTTCCCAAATTTTCACTGCAAAACCTCTTTTCTGAAGTTCCATTTCTGCATGTGACAAAAAGAGGCTTTCTCTTACCTGAGCCTAATCAGGATCCCCAACATTCTTAGTTTCTAATGGGCCTGATCCTGGGACGTTTGTGGTGAGTGTTTGAGGACACATCTCACTGAGAGATTGAGAATCACCACTTTAATTTATAACACTGATAGGAGTGGGTACTCCTGCTGTTGTCATATCCTGACATTAGAGCATTTATGCAGACCATGGGAAGTTTGCATTTGATTTCCTCTGCATTTATTCATTCAAATTCTCATTCCAAAGGAATCTTGTAGTGATGGGAGAAGTGGTAGAAGAAGAATGGAAAGGAAAAAAAGAGTGTCTAATGGCAAGAGAAAGTAGAGGTTTTATGACTGTGTTTATGCTTTGAACTTTTTTTTTTACTGTCTTACATAACATGTTTTGGTTTTGTTGTATTTAATATGAGAACATTACTTACTGCTGGTGAAGTCTTTGCATGGCCCAGATACAACCTGGGAGTTTGACTATCCTCTCTGAACAAGTTTTATTCTGCTGAGGAGCTCATCTGCGGAGAGACTTTCTTCACTCTGCCACTGAACTTCACAAAATAGACAACAAAAGCAGCAATAGGATCTTGTTACCTACCTTTACAACCATATTGTTACATCCATATTGTAACTTGAATTCCAGTCAGCTCCATCTAATGCTTATCATTTTCATTTTGGAGCGGTACACTGACAGACTTGATCAAAGCTTCTCTTTCTTTGCTCTCCATCATGTTGTGGTGCCTATCAACAGCAGAGGGAACTCCACCTTCATGAGAGTATTTGGAATGACAGACCAGAGATGGAGAGACAAAGTGCATTGTGTTAGCAGTATTTTTATAATTATCTTTACTGTCATTAGATGCCATTTGCACCAGACAAAACAGCTGTCTCTGAATTTTGAAAAATGGGCTACTGAATGTTTTCTCAAGCTTGTTTTCTTCTCTCAGCCCTACAGAGAGGTCTTTGAATTCTTCATAGACAGCTTCAAGACCTATAAGCCCCTGCTGTCTGCTATAAGGTATGAATATGAAGTTACTTTGGGTAAGCTTTTGGACTTGGACCTGTGGGGAAAAAACACTATTGGAGATGTTCTTACAGAGTTTAGTTGTGTTACATACGTACATAGGATGAGCAGCCTAAACAGATGTGAACTGGTAAAACCTTCTTTCTGGTCCATTAGGTCAATTTCTTTCATGCATAAGATGTTGTTGGAAACCTTTTTTTCCTAGAATATCTTAGATGTTTAGATTTAAGATTTTTAGATATTTTAAATCTTCATAACATACACAGTTCATGCAACAGCAGAGTATCAAGATTTTCTGGGACAATCAAAGTTCTGGTGGGGTGTATCATACTAATATATTTGGAGGCACTTGCACTGGTAACTTGAAGCTTGAATTACTCCTGAAGGCAGGGCACAGAACTGAACAGGCCATTGTTAGTAAGCTTTAAACTTTGCTTGGCATTCAGATGCTACAGTAATACCAGAACTTTGTAAACCATCACAGAGGGCTAGAAATAGACTGTAACCAGGAGCTCATTTCACACAGGGCACCGAGCAGCTATCAAATGTCATCAGTCTTCTACTGGAACAAACTCCTAAAGGATATATATTGTTTATCCCAGTACCTGTTAGCTGGACTATCTAAATCACAGGCCTTCCTTACAGACAATGGTTCTTTGCACCTTCAACCAGGTGAATAATTCAATTTTAAAAACTCCCTAAAAATTTTTTTCTCCTAGATCATGTTTATCAGTTTCCTTCCAGAACTCTTTCCTAGACATTTCTTTGCTTCAGCTCCCAGAGAGATTACTGGTGCCCGTGCTGTAGCTGATATTGTACGAGATTGACACAAGAGTTCTTTATTAAATGTTCTGAAGAGAAAGGCAAGATGAGAGGCATACCTAAAAGGAGGGGAGAGTGGGTAAACAAGAAGTTTGTATACAAAAGGTTGCATGAGACCATGCATTTGGAGACAAGAAAGCAGGTCAAAGTTCACAAAGAATGTTCCTTCAGAAAAGAGGATGTATTGCTAATTACCAGTAGTCTTTAGCCCCATATGCTGCCTGTGCTTAGATGGGGACCTACCCACCTAGTGAAACATGACAAAGCCATCAGTGCTCATTATGTCTTATCAAAGCTTTAAATACTCAGGAAAACAAAATACTACTCATCCTCTGTTTTCCAAATTAGGACAAATATAATGAGTTGATATCAGAAATCCTGACCAAGGTCATATGCAGAACTAGATAAACAACAGGATATAATTCTAAAAAAGACTGTCCCTAGGCACTCACCAGGCCAAGCAGCAAAAGCTCCATCTCCCACAGCCCAGCTGAGTGGAATTCAGGCATTATTGCTTGTTGTGAGACCCCACCTCTGCTTTCTTTAGATTATCAGAAGAGAAGGATCCATGAACTGGAGCCCCTGAAGGCAATGGTTGCAACTGCCTCAGAGGAGTGCATCCTGCAGATACTGGCACTGCAGGAAAAGCAGAAAAAGGAAATAAGAATACTAGAGCAAGAGAAACAACATTTGTTAAAGATCATTGGCCACATGAAGGAAGAAGAGAATTCTCTTCAGACTCGGGTAACTTTGACAATGATGAGTCAAATGTTTCCCAATAGCAGCTGGATGCATTTTATACATGTGATCTCTTACCTCTCAGCCTCTCATCGTTCGGTGTTAGTAGAAGTTCTGGAGCAGACACTAATCACTTGGCACAGATGTGCTGCTGGATTTTGGGCAGCTGACTGGAGAATATCCTGTTCCCTTGGGACAGGCTGTGCTGCCACTGTCAGAAGTCTTCACTTGCATCCATTGCCCCAGCTCACTCTTCCAGGGTCACACCTGAAGAGGGAAGGAAATCAGTATCTTCGTGGTCCTAATGTTTTAAGCTCTTATGTAAAAATAAGCCCACTCTTTTACAACACTGTACCTTAGTGTCTTTAAATCTGCATCGTTCATCTTCCTGCCAGTGCAGTCACACTGATATCTATGGGCAAGATTAGTTAAGTCCTTCCGATTTAAATTTCCACTTTATACAGTTCTTGGACAGTTTCAGCTACTCAGGCAGAAATGCCACTACTGCTGGAGAGCAGTAAGAGCAGAGCTACTGCATTAGGAAGGACAAGCCAGGGGCTAAGGGTGACTGCAGTGCAGTCAAAGCATGGTCTTACAGCACCAAGCAAGGTGCTGGTAGCAGTTGTCCTCAGCAGTTCCAGATGAGGCAGTTAAGCACAGGGTCCACCCATAGTTGGTGGGGGAAGACAGCAGCACAAGATAGGGCCAGAGTCAAGACTGGAGACAAAACCGCAACAGACATCCAAAAGGATCCATCCAGGAAAAAAGCTGCCTATGACATCAGCCCAAGGTCTGGTTAGGATACAGGGACAGGACTAGAAGCAGATACACCTACTGCACAGCTCTATAGCCTCAGTCTGTTTAACAGGCTGTGGGCAGATGGTGGGTGGATGGAGAATCCAGCTGAGGCTGATCAGGATAATTAAGATTCTTGGACCTCTGCTAGCTACTATAACTAATTCAGGAATCATCAAAGAAGTATTGGTTGGAAGGAATATCTAGAGTCTCTAGCCCAACCTCCCCCACCAAGGAAAACTATCACCTACATTACTTCAGCTCAGCCATGAGCTTGTCTGGCTGAGTTTTTGAGATCCTTCCAGGATGGTGATCCTCCACTTGCCTGGGCAGTGTGTTCCATAGTTCTATCATTCTCCTGGTGTGTTGTGGTTCAAGCCCAGCTGGCAGCCCGGAACCATGCAGCCACTTGTTCACTCCTCCCCCCTACTTTTCCTTCCTCCCCCCGCTCCTGGAGGGATGGGGAGGAGAATCGGAGGAATGTAACTCCCATGGGTTGAGATAACAGCAGCTCAGTAACTAAGGTATAATACAAACCACTACTGCTACCAATAATAATGAGAAGAGGAATAATAAGGGGAGAGGATACAATTGCTCACCACCCGCCAACCAATATCCAGCCCAACCCTAGCAGTGATCTGGGCCTTCCGGGTAACTCTCCCCAGTTCATATACTGGGCATGACGTGCTGTGGTATGGAATACCCCTTTGGCCAGTTTAGGTCAGGTGTCCTGTTTCTGCTTCCTCCCAGCTTCCCCTCCTCCCTGGCAGAGCATGAGACTGAGAAAGTCCTTGGTCAGAGTAAACATTACTTAGCAACAACTAAAAACATCGGTGTTATCAGCATTGTTCCCAGACTGAAAGTCAAAAACACAGCACTGCACCAGCTACTAAGAACGAGAAAAAAATGACTGCTGTAGCTGAACCCAGGACATGGTGGAAAATCAGCAAGAGGAAGAAACAAATTGTCCTACAATTTGTATATAACCTATAGCAATTCCGCTGTCGTCAGAGGTGTGGTAAGAGCAGGAGCAAGTACCTGAACTTCCTTTCATCCCCTAGTTTAAGCACTGAGCTTAAGCAGTAAAGGTGAAGAACAAGTTTCAGGACAGACTAGGTACGCTCTTTATTCACTAGCTAGCACTTGGTGAATGTTAAGAGGCTTTGGTTTTACTAGCAAGATCCAAATGCTCATGAGTATCTCTTCCATTTGCAGTCCTAGACCTAGCCAGTTCCACTTTCTGATACTCCCCGGCCTCAGTGTTTCATCGAGCCATAGAGAACTATCCCTGAAAGGAGCAACTGCGAATTTACACAAAGTTACACTTGGCTTAGAGAGCCTAGAATCCAAATTCTAGCTTGGGCTATTTAAGTTTTGCAATTTACGTGGAGTAGTTTGGGAAGAATAATTCTGCTAAAACCAGAATTCCATTTCTGAAACAGCATTCAACTGTTCTAACTGGCATGGATATATACTGAAAAATTCCTTGGAAAGAGCCACCTAAGCAGCTGACTTGCCTGCTGGAGGCAGCATGGTTGTGGTTATGTTGGTGTAGAGACACAGGCAGACCAGCATTGCTACAGTGGGCTGGTATTTATATGACAGTAACGGAATACAGAATTCTTATCAGAATCAGAATAATCAGAGGTCCCCAGGACACTAGTTGTCTTCTGAGCAACAAGTAAAACACCCTCTTGATTCATTCCTATCCAGCAGATTAGACAGCTGTTGTCAGTGAGAGGATGTGATCTCATAATGAAATGCGTATCATGGGAATAGATTATGGTTTTACACATAGAGCCAGTTCTTAAACTTCCAGATTTCTGATAGTTTTACTTTGCCACTAATTTAAAATGCAATTAAAATTCAAAATTACATCAGGAAATAAAAAATACAGCACAAATACAATCCCATGTTGCTGCCCAAGATACATTTTTGTCACCAGTTCCAGCGGAGTAAATTGGTAAGAGCAGCAGCTTATTTTCTCCTGTGTGACCAGCAACAGGGACAGAATATGTTGCTGGAAGCTTTTCTAGACACAGGCTTACATCAGAGAGATGGTGTACTCAGATGATGAAAGGAATATAATTCACTCTCTAGAAGGCCAAACACTCAGACTAGCCTTCTGTAACACCCTTCTGCATGCTACATCTGAGTTTGAACTCTTTGGTTATATTTCCATCCCCTCAATCCTTTTCTATAGTGTTATGTCTGACCCACCAGAGCATTCCAGAGTTTCCATGATGATGTGCTCCTGAGCAGTTCAAGCCTCTGTTTTCTGCAGGTGGAGAGTCTGCAGGCAAGCGTAGCTGAGGAGTATTCCCACTATTTCAATAAGCAGAGTGCCCGCAAACTGCTTCTGGAAAAACTGAATGATATGAATGCACAGCTGGACACGAGACCTCGCCAAGAACAAGGTAGAGAGAGTGGGTGTCCGGAAGAACCTGTCCTGCACAAAGACCCAAATGCACATACATGGATGCAGCAGTGTAAAATGCAGAGTATCTCTGAAATATCCTCAGATATGCTTTGATTCTTGAAAGAAGTTAGAGAAATTCATGGACAAAAATTCCATAAAGAGGTAGGAAAGAGAATAAGTAGGGAGGTACCTACGGGTGTGATCTGATTCTGTAAGTCATTGCTTATATTCTTGTACACTCTTGCTCAGCACAAGAAGTAAACAAATGCAAAAGTTCTTCATGTTTTTTTGACTCCAGTGCCAACTGGCAGCACATCTTACCCAGCCATGTGCCTGTCCACGTTTTAGGTGTCACAAATACCTGGCACAGAGGTTACTCACAGTGGTAGGGACCCTTCCAGTGTGCATGATCTCTGTCGATCCAGTCAGGTTACAGGCACCCATAGTGCTACTGCTTCTTACTTGCTGCCTGTAGCCATTGCCTCTGCAGAAAGGGCTCACTCACCTGGGGTCTTTTCTGTTAATCAAAACTAAGCCTGAGCTTTCACGTATGTATGTGTCCATGGGAGACAAGGCAGGACAGTAGGTGGGAATGGGAACACTGCAATATACTCCTGAACTTGCAGTTCTTCAGCAATAATACAGTCTGCACCCATTCAACTCTTGCTGACACTTTGTAGGGTTATCTGGTCTAAAAGCTTAATAGATGGTTCTGAAAACTACAACTGCAATTTTACTGTCATGGGTTTTCAGCAGTGGCTGTTGTCAAGGGTGAAGATGTGGTGAAATTAACTTTGGCGTTGAAGGTAGCCCAGCAGGACCTCGCAAAAGCCTATGCAATGCTAAACCAAATGAAAGCAAGCTATGGACATGACATGCCCAGGAGAGATTTTGAATTACTGGAGAAAAAGTACTCCGATTTACTTCAGGAGGTGAGCATAAGCTCCTAATTTGCAAGGTACACCACACATACACAAACACAGCATGATGCTTTAGTATTCAGGTTGGGACAGGGACTCAGTAAACCCAGAGCTCACATAATGGCATTTCTTTGTACATAAAATACATGGAAAGCCACTGTCTTCTAATTCCCAAAGCTCCCTGTCTATTGAAATCACAGACTGCCTGAGCACTCAGAATTAGTGTGCCATCAGACTCTTAAAAGCAGGTTTACCTGAGTTAATACAGTAAAAGCAAGGATAGCCCACAGCGCACCAGGAGTCTACAGACTATGTGTTGAGCACTGTTCTCTGAAGTTATCATAGATATAAATAAATGAACTAGGTTCACCTCACATACATTGCACAGTGTTGTCCAAAACCACTGCTGTCCTACTAATACTTATCTGACTAGCTAGGGTTTTGCCTTTTCCAGTAGAATTAAATGGCTTCTTTAGCCTTCTGGGACTCCAAGGTCATCAACCCAGCTATGGGGCTGATCTATGCATTTTCCAGCTGTGAAAGCTCTGGACGAGGTTCCTCATGTTGTGTCTATTTGCTGCCTTTTCAGAGTAAATGTCTGACAGCTTAGCTTGTACTGGAGATGCACAGGAACAATGCCAGGTCACATGCAGGATAGGGTCTGCTTCCAACCCTGCAGTAGCAGTGTGGTAGTGACCTGAGCTCTAGGAGGGTGGAAAAGAGACCACATCAGATCCCACCATGTTGTTAGTGCACAGTTGTCAAGAGAGTTGGATGAAAACCTCCATTAAGGAAAAAAAGAAGTACATGTGGTTGTGCTTCAGAAAAGCAGTGCTGGGCTGATCAAGACACATTTGGGCCATTGGCAGCTTCATCCAAGCCCTGACCATCAGCACAGTTTGATCCACTGCTCATGTCCCTACATCAGGGCATAACAAATACAGACACAGCCCTCAAAACCCAGAATAGAGGTGGGGGTACCTCTGATACCCAACAGACCTTTGTACTAGTACAGCAGAGATAAATCATATTGAAAAGAAACACTTTCTAAATAAAATATAGTGAAGAAGATGGGTGGAAAAATTTCTAGAACAGAAACCTGTGTTTCTCTTGTTCTCTCCTAGTGGATTAAGATATATTTTTAAACACAAAAACTGGTATAAAAGCGTCACTCACGTGTTTTGTCAGAAGTTTTTGTAAATGATAACAATGAAAAGTAATAAATTATTTTTCTTCTGATCTCAAAGCAATTATCCAGACACAGCTCTCCATAAGTCTATGGACTACACTGACTGCTCTCCTGAGCTGTCCAGCTGTTGTCAGAAACAGAAAATTTCTGTTACTCTGGTTAGTTTGTTACAATCCTCCTTTCCATATCCTTTAGACGAAGACTCTGCAGAAGAGTTTTGATCAGCTCCATAAGGAGTATGAAACACTTTTGGAAATCCAAAGAGAGACTGCAGAAGAGCGAGACAACTTCCATGCTGAACTCCAGCGAGTTCAGCACAACACAACACCCCGGCCAAAACAGGCGAAGTGTTCAGGTGTCAAATGTACTCAGTAGTGGTTTGCTTAAGGCAGCTCATCTTTAAACACTTTGCTATGGTGCATTTCTTACCTGTAATGCCCGATTTTCTCTGAGGCTTTTAGGAGTGGCCAGAGTATTCCCTTTTGCCTTACTGATCTTAGGAGACAAACCAGGTGTCTAGAGATCTGATTCTACTGTAAGGCTCCTGCTGAGATTCACAAAAAACCATTCTCCTCTTCTACCAGCTCAGTGTCTTCTTGCTGTTGCAGAGGTGATTCCTGGTGGGGTTGACCAGTGACATCGTCTGGCTGAGGGGAAGCCCAGTGATGAGCTTGTGGATGTGCGGCTGGAAGAAATAGGAACAAGAGTGCTAAAAGAGATAAAGGTCTTCTGTGGACATGTATGTACAAGCTTTCTTTGCTGCCTATTTCCACTGAGAATAATTGGTAAAAGTATCCACTACAAAGGTGGGAGAATTGCTTTTGTGGATGATGTCTTCAATATTCACCTTCCCATCAGTGTAACAACGGAAAACTTTAAAGCTGGGAAAACTCAGGTGCAGTAGAAAAGCTGAAACTGAGAGCGAGCGTACTGAAGACACAGCTGAAGTGGCCACACTTTATGATGATGCTACATGAATCATCATACATGGAGGTGGGCTAGAGCCCCCTACTAATGCTGCACGATCTGGCTGAGCCAAATTAACAGCTTCCTGCTGCTGAAAACCCTTGTCCTTCTCCCCTGTCTCTACCCCCAACACTGGCTGCAGTGATGGGGAACTGTCTAGCAGAGTGGTATTCATTTATTCCCAGGTTAGTTCTCTGCTGATGAGATTAATTAAGACAAGCACTAGAATAAGACTAAGTAGCAAGACTACACAGGAAATGACTACTTATTGTGGCAGCAGTAAGATAACTCAACTCATACTGTCTCGAGCTGGAAGGTTGCCTATCGGAAAAGGCTGACTGACGGAGCTGAACATGAACTAGCTTGTGTATCAGTACTAGTGTGGCCAGCAGGGCCAGGGCAGTGATCGTTGCCCTGTACTGGGCACTGGTGAGGCTGCACCTCAAATCCTGTGTTCAGTTCTGGGCCCCTCACTGCAAGAGAGACATTGAGGTGCTGGAGCGGGCCCAGAGAAGGGCAATGGAGCTGGTAAATGGTCTAGAACACAAGTGTGATGAGGAATGGCTGAGGGACCTGGAGGGGTTTAGTCTGGAGAAGAGAAGGCTCAGGGGGGACCTTATTGCCGTCTACAATTACCGAAAAGGAGGATGGAGCAAGGATGTGGAAAATCTCTTCTCCCAAGGAACAAGTGATAGGAAAGAGGAAACAGCCTTAAGCTGCACCAGGGGAGGTTAAGACTGGAGATGAGGAACAATTTCTTCCACAAAAGGGTGTTCAGGCATTGGAACAGGCTGCCCAGAACAGTGGTGGAGTTACCGTCCCTGGAAGTGTTCCCAAACTGTGTAGAGGAGACCCTCAGTGACATGGTTTAGTGGTGGACTTGACAGTGCTGGGGAACAGTTGGTCTTGATGATCTTAAAGGTCTTTTCCAACCTGGTTGATTTTGTGATTCTATGATTGCAATGCACCCCAGCACATAGGGGAATCAGGAAATGCTAAGGGGACAAGGAAATGTTATAAGGATTTTCCACATCATAGCAAGCATAACTGTATCCGAAGGTCTTCTCAGGGACACAGCAGTATTTCTTGGTCCTTCAACATCTCTTCCTCAGCCTTTTCAGAACCTTGAACTGTTTGCCCTGCCAGTTCTGAAAGAAGTTTCTAAGGAAGATCTTTCCTCTTCTATTGTTTTTGGGCAGAACCTCTCACACAGTACCATTTTGTCCACCTTGGAGCACTTGAGACACACTGCGGAGTTGCTGACACGTGTGTTTTATAGTACTGGGAATGAGACCCACACAAATGACTCATTTTAATGGCTTTAGATGCTGAGAACATGGCTTTGGTGCTGGACCACTGTCAGTGAGGTGAATGCCTCACCTGTGTCTGTTTCTTTTCCATTCCTTAGGGAAAAGGTGGCAGTATTCCTGTGTACCTAAGGCACGAAGGTGAAGTCAGGAACAGAAAGGTGACTAAGAAGGATGTGGTGAACATCCGAAAGGATGTCTGGAAGGAGAAAATTGCACTAGAACAGCAGGTGTGTCCCAGTTACTCCACAAACAGCATTTGCTATGATTTTGGGAAGCAGGGTCTCACCATGTCCTGCCTAGTGTTTCATCTGAATCGAGCTGCATAAAACATTTTAAGACCAAATGGCGTCAGCTGGCAGTAACCCTGTGCCTGGCAGGGCTTACCAGGGATCTGACTCATGGATTAGGACAGTACCACCTGGATAACCTGGCGTAGCTCCATCTCAGGCCAAAGAGGCCTACTCTGCAGCTCCTGCTCCCAGGACAGTTGAATTGCTCACAACGCAGGTGATGCCCAACGACTGCTGCAAATTCAGAGGCATTCAGGAAACCAGAACTCAGTGCCACATGTCCAGGACCATAAACTGCAGCAGTCCAGCAGTTGTTGCAAGAGCAGCAACAGGAGGAGTCAAGTGACGACTCCTCCACAAGGCAGGGTGCCCAGGGGAGGAACTGCTGCAGTCACCCTGAGTCAAATCAGCCACACTCATGAGTCCAAGACCTCAGCTGCTGCTGCTCTGGGGTGTGATGGTACACTGTAGACCACTGTGCCATCACCACTATGCAACATCTGTCCTAGGTGGTAGAAACCTTGGCAACATCTGTACAGCCAGAGAGCATGGCCAGGGGCTTTTGCTGGGCTAATTTTAACCATGCCAATCCATTATTAAGCTTCATAGTGTTTGTGTAACAAGAACAGGTGGCACTGAAGGAAAAACAAGGAGTAGGGGAAAAAAATAATTTACATTAATTTATTTACTGATATAAAAGTGCTTTGGTTTTGTTACACAAACCCCAAAGCATTTGCCCTTCTTTGTGGGCCTAGAAGGGTGGGTTGAGAGTGACAACTGGAGGCCAAAGGGGCTTGTCTGGGGTGATACAAGACTCAAAAGAGAATGAAAGTAGCTGTTTAATTCTTCCCATGTTAGGGACAAGTATGAGACCATCTCCCCAGCTACTGGTCAAGCCCTGTCACTGTGTCTCAGTCATATGAGAGCAACCTTGACAGAGGCAGTCACTTTACAGATTTCTTCTTGAGCTAGATAAAACCATATCCTGAGCTCAGCCTACGCTGTACTCACCAGGCGGGTAGGCAACCCACAGCGCTGTGCTGCTCTGCCCAGACAGCCCTGGTGGCACAGGCAGCAGGCAAGGGTAGTGTTCACTGCAAAGCAGCTTCACCTCCCATTCCTCCCCCTGGGAAGCTGCACCTTCTCACGAGGGTAAAAGTAGACAGACACTGGAGAAGGGAATCCTGTCCATGCAAGACACGTCAGGCTCTCACTGCTCCTAACAGAGCTTCTAGAAGATCCCATTTCTTTCACACACTTTGAGTAGTACCGTATCTGCTCTCTCCGATGAGAGGCTTCTCTTCACAAGATTTACATACCTGCCTCTTTCTCTCAGAAGGACTTCCCTGAAAAACAGTTCATGGTTTGTCTCTGTGCGGTGTCTGTGAAGATCAGGACACGGTTGCTGAACTGCAGCACCATGCAGGCTCTGGCAGCATCCCTCCCCACTCCCAGCACTACGTCAGAGCTGGAGAGCTCTAGCTACGTGGCCACATCCTTCCACCTCCTGTAACACAAAGACATGTAGCCCCCCCAGGTCCTCGTACACTTGCCCTACTCATGTCTTGCTTGGATATGGAAAAGCATCTGGGACCAAGTGCCACCTCCTAGGCAGGGAGGCTACTGCTCGGGGGGGCAGTCCAGGGTGTGCATATGCACCTGAGGGATTAACAGTTGAAGCAAGTTTCTCTACAAGAAATCACTGTGACCAACTACTCTGGAAACCATGGTGATGCTTGCTTAATTGTTTGTAAATCGACAAAAGCAGCTCAAGTACAATTTGCTTTAGATGGGAGCACAGTCCTTTTACAGTTTTGGTTCCCTCTTGAACGCAGTCCAAGGAACAGATGGGGCAGTTACCGATCTGCGAACATTCCCTGTTCCACAGGTGGGCGAAGAACAGTACCACAGCCAGAATCAGCTCATTTCCAATCTGCAGGAGGAGTTCGCTGCCTGTGACAGCTCAGACAGTGGATCCTTGACCAGCAAGCAGTTCAGGCAAGAGCCTAACTGGTGCCCATGAGCTCTGCCCACATCTGGCACACGTCAGAGCTCGTGACACACTGATTCTGTCTGCTCTCCTTACCTGCCAGT